TGCGTTGACTAAGGTCTCGCCGCAGTGCAAAGCGAATCTGCCTTTCACGCACGCACGACAGCACTGAGTCGCTCATTCATTTTGGGGGTGCGGGGAGGGGGCGGGGGGGATCGGTGCATTTAATTTGCACGCGTGTAAAAGCTGTGACGTCAATGCCGGTGGGTTGGAGGGGGGGGGGCAGCGTGGGGGAATTTGTTCCATTTTTGCAGAGTCATGTGGCTAACAGAAGCGGCCACACTGCTTTGATGCCAATGGTGATGATGATGTTGCCCTTCATCTTCCTCGCTGGTTCACCTGAGGAAAGCCTTGTTTTCCTCTACAAGTGTAAAAACAAGTTCAGCCGCCTTTACGTGACCTGAACTAATCCCCCTGCACAAATTAAAGTATGAAATTATTTTACAGTGTTTTGGGATGATAGTTTGTGTTCTATTTATGGTTGAAACTGTTCATTGAGGCGGATTCAAACAAATTGAATGGGATGCCGTGTTGTCGTCGAGACCACACCAACCGAGACCATGACGTTATTGAGACTAGAGAGTGCTGAGACCGAGACCGAGACAAGACCAAGACTGTGCATATCAATAATTTTTTCATTCCGTTTGCAACAAAAAACAAATTCTGCTAGGTTGTTTTTGAAAAGCAACTGTCTCTCGGATCTGAGCAGATTTGTTGTTTCAATTCTACATATGAAAGTAAAATGTTCGACTCCTTTTCCTTTTGTTTTTTTGCACTGATTCTGAATCTGCCCTTGTATTTTCTCATGCACATCAGGTTTTATTGTTCATGATGATAATAATAATAATAATAATCAAAGATGGGCATTCTGTCCCTGGGACGGAACAGTCCATCCATTCGTACCGGACAGAGGATGATAAGTTTTTAAAAAAGGACGAATTAAGTCCGGATGGAAGTGGCTGTGTTGTTGGTCTTTCGGTACCTGCCCATCATGCTGTAGGCGAGGATTTCGAAAAGTAAAGTTGATATTATGCTCATTTCATTTTGTCATATAATATCTACTACAACAACGAAGTAAAGACCTTTTTAAAATCTGCGTCCAAAATACGTCTCGGGACACATGACGCCATCTCTGATTCCAATTTGCTGTTGAGCAGCGCTACGACTGTTGATGTCGCCGTCTCACAATTATTGTGAGCTCTCGTCCCGCCGGTTAATCATCCGTATTGCGCAATCCGCCAAATGACAGGAAACCATCCGTCGCATCGGCTGACGTCGGCTTTCACTGTGTTTCTCTGTCTGCGTTGGGACCCCCAACCCAACCCCCGCCCGTGTCATGACAAAGATGCAGAGTCTTGTCTGCCACACATGCAGGAATGTTCTCAGCAGCGTAATTGTGTGTGTGTCTCTCTCTCACACAAACGCACACACTTTCAGTGTTGCTGATGTGGAGACAAGCGAGTAGTTGAAGCCCCCCCCCCCCCGATATGTTTGGCCAGCATTCATGTGTGGCCCACTCACATAACTGCTCATTCATTTGCAATGGAAATAGTCCCAAGTCAAATTTGCACATGAGCAGCAGAGGTGTGTGTGGGGGGTGGGGGGGGGGGACTCGAGTCACACGGCTTGACTGGAGTCGGACTCGCCAGTTGGAGGGCTTGGGACTCGCTTGGCTCCAATGCATGTATGGACAGGCAAGGCAAGGCAATTGTGTTTCTCGAGCGCATTTCACACGCAAGGCAACTCAACGTGCTTCACACAAGCTAAGCGGCACCTGAGAACATGAGCATGAGTTTTTCTAATATATGCGTGTGTTTGATTGATGAGAGGAATTCCACCTCTGGCAAGCGGCCAGTATCAACCTCTTCTCCCGCAATGGGAGTGATGAGCACGAGCCTGCCTCAGCATTTTTGAGCCAAACGAGCGTTCCCCCACTAATGACGCCGGCTTCAAAGCTGAGGTCACGGTGGTCTCGGTTAAATGTTTTTTTTTTAATTTGAATTATTTATTTTTTTCTGGTAATGATTCCATTGTGGTTGTAGAGGCCCGCCGCAAAATACGGACGCGTGTGTGGTTTGCAGTTGCGCTGTCGTACCTTCAATCCGTGTGGCTGACGTGACGGATGGGCGAATTTCCCCAGCTGAGTGTGGGAAACGTCAGACCAGCCAGCACGAGCTGCTCCTGGTGCTGGTAAAACACACGGTGGGATCTTGGTTCCAGAAAGTCTGACTTAAACGAAAACCAAAGCAATATTTCCTATAGGAAATAATGTCCACCCACTTAATACGTTCCAGACACACAGTGATATCAACGAAAATGACAATTTATGTACGTATAACAGCAAGGCGCATTCTAGCAAGCTACAAAATAAAAGCGTGGCATTATAATAACAGTTTTCCCTCGCTTCCTTTGGTTCCATGGTCCGAGCAGTTACTTTCAAACTATTTTGCGCTTGTTTATTGAGTGCGACTGTTAAAAAGCCACAATGGAAGCAAAGAAAGTGTGGTCAAACTGCACTCTTATATTTCCTACATTTTATAGCAGTTACTTTCAAACTATTTTGCGCTTTTTTTATTGAGTGGGACTGTTAAAAAAAGCCACCATGGAAGCAAAGAAAGTGTGGTCAAACTGCACTCTTATATTTCCTACATTTTATTTTGAAGGCCTGACTTGTGGTAAATAGAAACCTGCGTTGTGGAATACGCCTTGCTGTCTGCTGAACAAATTTTACACAACTTGATGTGCTCCGAGCATCTTTCAAACAAGTTGGAATTGCGCTGCACCTTTTGCCGTGCGGGTCGCGCATCTCTCCGTGAATGCTCAATGACTTTTGTGTCTTTGATGTGGACTCTTGAGAGGCTTCCCGCTGTCGGAATCATCAGCTAATGATCTCCTTACCTTGGCCGAAATGCCGTTTTCATGTGCTGCACGTTTTCGTGCTTTGGCGCATCGCCGCTTCCCTACTCTTGTGATCAGTCGTTGCCATTGCGTAGACCTTCAAGAAAACACTCAAGCCACGTGGGGCTCGATG